GTAGAAAATACGGGATCCCGTCCGCTCTCCCCTAGTCAAACTGCTGATCGCCGGACTAGCTTAGGGAGAGGAGAAACGCTATAAAACGGCGTCAATGTCGCCGTTTGGTTGTTAACATGGCCGTCTTGTCTGGTGTTGGTGGAGTGGTCGAGGGAGCGGGAGGGTGCGGCACGGAAGGAGACAGCGAGGGAAATCGTGGCCTCCCTCCTCCCTGTGGCCCAGCGCTGTATACTGGACCGCGATCCAAATCCTATTGATCAAATAAAATTCTCGAAAAAAATTCTCAAATTGAAACCCACGTAAACCCGTCAAGTCGAGATGTCTTTCAGACGCGCCGCCCTTGTCCTCCCCGACATCCCCGTTAACGGCCTACGAAACCCTCGTGAGCGGCAGCGGAAAGCGGACGAGGACGATACGCGGTTGTGGGAGACCGTGGATAACGATAGGCGGGAGGTATCCCTGAAAGAACAAAATGAGCGGTTCCGTGCATGGCAGTCGATGCGGTTGTAGGTATTCAAGCAGCATCTAATAGAGCTTGCTGATAATAAACTTAGATTTATCGAGACGTATAAGAGGATCGACTTCGACCATGGCGGACTTCCCTGCCGGCCATCATGTACGGCCACCGGTTGTGGGGGAAGGTTCCGCTGTCTCTTCAAATATCTTCATAGTCAACGTAGAATCGTCTTCTGCCTTGTCGACTCTACAATACCATTGTCTCTATTATCCCATCTTATCCTCACCTAGAGTGGCGCTAGATAGGTTGGTTGAGTTGTCGTCAGCGCTCTTAAGGGACGGGTAAGAACCTGGAAGTCATCTCTCTCTCTACGGCTACTTGAGCTTTCTTGGCTGGGCACGAACCCCAACCCCGAATCTTTTTCTACTCGGCTTCTGGCACAAAAATAAGAAATAAAGTGGTCTCCTCCTTTTTCATATCTTAAACAACACTGACTGCGTAGAATCCCAATTAGATCGGTTTATCAACAGGTGGGGTGAAGAATGACCGCGAGTGAAGTTAAAAACGCCGAGGAAATGATGCGGAGTGCCAAGGCCATGCCGCAGCGGGCATGGGGATTTTCCGGGGGGTCGACTAAGCAACCATTGTCAAGGGTAGTTAGGACTATGTGATTTGGCAGCTTCGCCATGTCAAGGGCTCAGGCCTAGGGCCATGAGCAGTCGTGTTGGATCGTGGCCGATGGCCTTGGGTTGACATGGCGGGGCTGTCCCTCTCCCGGGGCACTCGCGGGCCGGGGCTGTCCCGGACCCGGCTCGGAGGTGGAGCCCGAGGTGCCCGACCCCTGAGCGCGCACATCAGGGGGGGGAGGGACATCAGGATATAAGGAGCCATGAGCAAGGCACAACCCCGAGTAGTTCTCTTTCTGCAAGCTTTCTCAATTAACATAATAAACGCCTATCTGCATTCCGCCATAGGGCCAGTTTCTCACAAAGGGTGACCTCCACCACCCGCAAGTCGCCTAAGTGGTAATACCAGTCCCTCATCCGGTGAGCAAGCTCGACGACCTCTACAAAAACGGCCTTAGTCTTCCCTTCGTCTTGCCATACACTAAGGCATTTCACGTCACAATAGCCGCTATACAGGATATCGTCTGACAGTACTTCAAGACGGCCAAGTCAGCCTCTTCCCCATCCTCCAATTACTATCTCTTGGTCTGCTGGACCTTAAGGTGGATACAAGTGGCATAGGAGGTCGGCGGATACGTGGAACAGCCTGTACGAGGTTGTAGGCTGTGGCTTATACGTTGAGAACTGCTAATACTATAATAGGGAAGTCGGCGATAGGGCAAAAGTTTATTGAGAACCAGAGACTATATTGCGTTAAGAAGATTCGAAACTCCTCCGCCTCTAGAGCCCACTGAACGCATTTGCCACTCGGCGGGCAGTACAGCATATTTCAGACTTTTCGACGAGGCCCGCACCTTTCCCGCAGTGCTCTTGCAACATCATCATCATAGTTGCGTACGCTATAGTAAAGAACTACAGCCACGCCCGATATAGTGTACCCAGCTGCCCTGCCGCTGCCTAGAAGTAAGCCTTTGTCCTAGGCCCCTAGGATACATCTGGATCTCGAGCTGGACGATGATTCCTTCTTAACACCCGATGTGACGAATCGCCTCAACCACACTCTGCAAGGGTTCACTGAAGGTAAGGTAACTTGGGTTGTGATTCGGTGAAGCCAAAAGGTTCACAACAAGATAATGATCTGGTTTCAATGTTCGTAGCAATTGGTAGCGAACAAGTTGTATTGCTTACTGGAGAACTCCCAGAGTCCTCCAGAACGAGTGACTATATACTATCTAAGAAAGAGGGTTTCCTAAGTACCTTTGTACCTTGATCGTGGTGATCGCTCCACGATCCATCGATCACCTATTCTTGGCGTTTTGAGTGATCCCGCGATCGTTCCATCGATCCACCGATCACTCCCATGCTGGTCCCTAATTGGTTGCTGCTGACTGGTCCGTGCGCCCAGTCAACGTGTTGGCCATCAGTCCGTGACACCCGACCGGGCTTCACAAGCTGACTGCCCTCGTCTTTCTGCCCTAAAGGAGGTTGCTCGCTGCTAGGGCCAACAAGTCATTCGACACTACCGGTGGGCCTCCAAGGGGGAAAGCTATTACAGTCGGCTTCGTGCTACGGCACGCAAAGTGTCCCACTGGGGCAACGCCGTATTGGTCCTGAACTGGTCGATTCTCCAACGATCCCGCAACGTCCGGCAGGGACCGATATAGGCCTTAGTGAACCCGATCGAACCGCATGACCTAGTATCCTACCCCAAAAGACAAGCTTTTGAGAGCCAGATCAGTGGTTGGGTCGGTGGCTAGCGAATCCCTGGTGTTGCCTGTTCTTTAGGAAGCGAGCGTAATACAGGCAAGATGCTCCAGGGCCAGCAAGGGAGGAACTCTATACCTGTCTCGTCATCCCCAGGCGTCCGGTGTTGTATATTTTAGTTTGTCCTTCGTATTTCGTTCGTCCCAGACACTTCTTTTTTGTTCCGTCGGGGTGGCAAAATTGAGCCTGGCGAGGTTTGGGTGCCATCAAGACTTGGACGATATAATGTTTAGAGCGAGAGACAGAGCCACTTGAACTAAAGCGGAGAAGGAGACCATGTGAATGGTACGTATATTTGTCAAAGTTTCACTACTGTTAGCGGCACAGCAGATGCGAGCTGGAGCCAATCGCTCTAGGCGATATAACGCCTCAGTGTCGGCTTGCCGCGATGTCCGCCGCACAAGGCAGCCGGGGGAGGCCGGGTTCATAAGTTCAGGGCGGGAGGCGCGGGACATGACGGATTGGAGCAAAAAAGAGTCATTCACGATGTGTGTGACTGTGGCTGGAAAGTACCTCGATGGAGGCAGCCGAGCAGGGGAGTGGCGTCACGTGTGGCATCCGTCGAGGCCGCGCTCAGAATCCCGGTCGCAATGGTGACAAGACCCACATTTGTGAACTCGGGGGTTCAAGATCTGGGCGGCGCGCCCCGTGCCGCGCCAAATGTCTGCCAAGGCGCTAACCCACTCCACTTGGCGCCCGTGCTCTTCGAAGCTGGGGAAGCGCCGAGAAACGCGTGCCTCGTGCACCTTAGGATCGTGTTGTTGGCATTACCGGGACATCCAAGTCGGCCGGAATCATCTTACAATGACTTTGCCCCAGTGACTCGAACGAAATAGGAGGCATCTTGCCGCCATTCGTCCAACAGCGCTGCCACGACTTTCACTTGGGCGACCAATAGGCAAGCGAGCCAGCCGCCGCTTTTCGGCCCAACCCCGCAGTAGCCGCTGCGGAATGCAGCTGTCAACACTGCTACCGGAAACCACTCAGGACAGAGAGTAAAGCGAACAGATCCTAGAAGGTTTTCGTGCGAGGACCATTGCTGGTTCATTCGGACCCATCATGACGGAGAAGTCGCAGAAGAAGTGGCTGAAGTGGCCGAAGAAGCTCCTCGGGGGTCGCCGTACAGTCTCGCCGGCTCCGTCTGCCACGTCGTCGACGAGTATGTTGAGACTCTGCCTAGCATTGCAAGACTTCTCGTAACTCACATTCTCTCGCAGACGTCTGGTCATCCGATCAGGGAAATACAGAACACGGATTGAATACGTCTTCCATCGTCGCGACTGAGTCATGTGCTCCTCCGTTCCCATCTGCCGCTGCCGCCGCAAAGGCCGCCCGACCCGGCACAGATGCGAGAGTCCCTGACGATCACCAACCACCCGCAGCATCGCAAGCACTGCCTCCTGCTCTGCCCGCCGAATCCGCGCCCAAACCACCGCCAACCGAATCCACAGAGCCCCCGACCCCCGTCCCCTCCGTGTCCGAGAGACTGTGGAACGAGGCGTACGACAGCCTTGAGACGGACAATGCAGAGCTTGTCGAGTCATACGTGAAAATGTTGGAAACAGTTCTCGGGGCCAATCTAGGCGTTGCTCCTGACACCAACATCTCGGCCGAGCTCCATAACCCAACCAAACGACAGATGTATATGAGGGGGCTGGTGGAGGAAGGCCAGGCGAAGATTTCCAGAGCGTCCAAGATCACGAACGGAGTAGGCGACATTGCCGATTTTGTCTCGTCGGTCAAGGGAATGATTGACCTGGCTGTCCAAAGCGTACCGCAGGCTGCGCTTCCGTGGGCCGGTGTTTGCGTTGGGCTTCAAGTAAGCAGTCGTCCTTCGGACACCCCTTTGTGCTTGGCTCTACTAACATGCCTCCAGATTCTCCAGAATCCTGCGCAAGCGACGAAATCCAACCTTGCCGGTATCGCCCATATTATCTCCAGAATGGACTGGTACTGCGCCCTCACCGAACATCTCCTGAACGAGAACAACGTTGCCGATGGCAAGGACTTCCAAGCAGTCCTGCGCCAGCTGAAAAAGGGGATCGTTGAGCTCTATAGAGCTCTTCTCCAATACCAGATGAAGAGCGTTTGTTCCTACTATCGCAATCAAGGGCTTGTATTCCTTCGCGGCATGCTCAATCTGGATGATTGGGACGGCGATCTGAAGCTGGTTACCGACGCAGAGGCCATCGTTCAGAAAGATGCTGCCCAATCCTTCCAAGAACAAACGAAAGCCTCCTTGGAGAATCTCGTTGAGCATGCCGAGGGAATGGAGAGGCGACTCGGCGACATCCACCAGGACATTCGGGACTTCATTTCGTTGCAGAAGGTTGGCCAAGATGAAAAATGTCTCCAGGACCTCTTCGTGGTAGATCCGCAAGACGACATGGACAAAATTCAGAAAAAAAAGGACACTTTGCTCGACGCCGGATACAACTGGATTCTCGACACAAAGGAGTATACAGCTTTCACAAACTGGAACTCTGGCGGGTCTACATGTCGACTGATGTGGGTCAAGGGTCATGCCGGTACAGGGAAGACAATGCTCCTGATGGGCATTATTCGCGAGCTCTCAAGTCAGTCTGCCAAGCTTGCACCCAAGGTCTCGTACTTTTTCTGCCAAGGTACAGACCAGGCCTTGAACAGCGCAACGGCCACCCTGAGATCTCTGATCTGGCTACTCCTTGTTCAACAACCCCATCTCATCTCTCACTTGCGATCGAAACACAGGAATGCGGGTTCCTCCCTTTTCGAAGGCGAGCGTGCATCCATTGCTCTGTCCAATGCATTCAAGAGCATGCTGAAAGACTCAGAGTTACGCCCAGTATACTTTATCATCGATGCTCTTGATGAGTGTGAGGAGGGACTGGGAGACCTGATCGACCTTATTTCATCTTCCCTTGCTCTCTCCGACAAAGTAAAGTGGCTGGTATCTGGCCGGCCAACCGTCGAGCTAAAGAGCCCGGAAACATCGGATTCTTTGGTCGAGTTGGACGCTCAAAAGCTGAAACGTCCCGTCAACGCATACATCGACCACAAGCTTTCCATCCTGAAGACCAGGGAAGGGTACAATGACCGTATCTTGGCTCAGATCAAGGCTGAAGTCCGCCAGCAGGCCAAGAATACTTTCCTTTGGGTGGCACTCGTATTCAGAGAACTCGATGCAGGGGCTGAAAATCTGGACCCAGTTCACGGAGCGTATGCCGTCGAGATCATCAAAGAGATTCCTTCTGGTTTGTCGGAGCTTTACGACCACATAATGACCAGAATAGAGAAGGGAACGAGGAAGGATCCGCAACACTGCAAGAACGTCCTGGTAGCTGCTACTCTCGCATACCGCCCTCTTACTCTCTCCGAGGTTGCCATTCTCGCCGGTTTACCATCCGAAATTCACCCCCGAACAATTGCCAAGAAGTGCGGCTCATTCCTCACAATCACTGGTGAAGTGGTCAACCTGATTCACCAGTCGGCCAAGGACTACCTAGAGAAAAACTTTGAGTCTCGACTTCAGAAAGCTGGGCCTGCCCAAGGGCATACGGACATCGGCACGCGCGCGATCGACGCGATGTCTTCCGTGCTGAAGCTGAAGAGGAACATTTACAACCTTGACTACGGCTTCAAACCAAAGGATCTGACACCCCCTGATCCAGATCCGCTGGCTCCAATACGATACTCTTGTGTCTTCTGGGTCGACCATCTCTGCTCCCTGAGCAGCGATAACTCCAGGTTTCTAGGAGAATTGACA